AAAAAAAAAAAAAAAAAAAAAACAAATAGCAATGACATTTAACATGTCCAAACTCTGTAATATGATATTTAACCAAGTTCAGAGTTAAGTCCAATTGCTCAAGTCTAATTGCATCAAATAATTACCTCCAAATTCATAGAAGAAGATTGGATTAGCCCATGATGGTGATCGGAAGTGACATCATGTACATTCGTCTCCTGGTGAGCCTCTGAGATCCTGTTAAGCATCCTCTCAACAAATGCAACCAGTTCTGAATGTGTAACTCGCAAATGAGATATTTGCAGGATATGATTGCAATATTGCGGCCACTCCACAAGCCGGTCAACAAACTGCTCCAATGCCTTAGCCCCAAACGAGAACATCTGCATATTGTAAACTCCGATGTCATGTTGAATGCGGAAAACAAAAAATATACTAAACAAACCAGATCCAGGAAAAATACCAACTTTTGAATCTGAAGGTTTCCTCAAAGAATCTAAAACAGCTCGTAAAGCAATGCCTAGTGTGAGATGAGTCACTAGTTGATGCTTGATCAGTGATCCTGAAAACAGAAAAAACCAAATGCAGTGTAATTAACCTTACTTAATACAGCATTATAATAAACAGACAAATGAGGGTTATGGCATATTGATGAAGCCAATAATCTTCATAAAATTTGGCAACCAAGAAATTGAAAGTACATGTAAATTCATATTGACCATACAATTGCATATATTACATATAAAGGGAGAAATGAGAAAAAAGGAAAGGTAGAGAAAAAAGAAAGAACAACAAAACAAGAATGTCATTCCAGTAGGTGCACAAACATCATTCATCCAAAAGCTAACGACAAAGAGAATGCCAAAACATGAGAAACAATAACTAACTATCAAAAAGAAAAGACAAGCTAAGATTATAGAAGATACAAAACAAGATCTCACCAAAAAGAATTGCAGCAATTCTCAGCTGCTTTTCAGGATACTTCGTGAAAAATTTGAATTCCTCGAACAGATTAGCAATCATACACTCGTAAATAGACTGTTCCCTGTCAGAATGTCCAATTCCCTCAAACCGTTACTTGCATTCGGGTACAAATGAGACAAGCATACTATACATACAACCAACATGTAACCAGTAAATTTCAGCGGCCGACCAGACACCTGTATATATTACACTGCCATTGAAATTCATGCCGTTTAAAATATTTTTCACATTTTACAAGCTAACCCAGTATAGCTCTTTGAAAAATCCAGAGGTATTTCGTGATGCTTCAAAAGTCAAATACTATTTTTCCTTATACACAGGTTCCAAGTGAATAAGTTTTTATTCAGCAAGTGCAATGTGAAACCAAGAGCAAAAAGTCAAATGGCCGATGAAGGACGGGTGGTGAAGGGAAAGAAAAGATGGGATGCTTTAGCTTTTGAAAAAGGCAAGCCCCTAAAAAAGGCTCACACGAAAGACTACTAGCTAAGTAGAAGAACATGATCCTGATTCATACTCCTACTGGAATCAGAATTCAAAGAAGCAAAGTATCCACGAAGTGATACCAGATTCAGGGGCATCAACATACAGATCAAAAGATATCATATAAATGTGTCATTATGCCTGAATTTCTGTAAGAGAAGTTCAAATCAAGGCACATGTATGAACAATGACTATTAAGAAGATTTACCTCTTATCTGACGATTCCTTAAAGCGGGCAAGCATTTGAATCATATCATCAATAGAACGCTGACCAGAAAACATTTGATGAAAGATTTGATTTGATTCAGTCTCAATGTCATCGGCATAACTATCAGCCGTAGCTGAGTCTGAACTTGTGCCATTTTTAACTCTTGAATTAGCCAGCATTTGAGAGACATCCATTTTTTCGATTTCCTCAGACAAGTTACTGGAGGAAACCACACCAGCATGGAACTGAAGGACCTGTATAACAAACATTTAGAAAGGTTAGGGATCAGTAAGCAGATCTGAAGGCAATAAGAGTATTAAAGGGGAACCGCAGTACCTTTAAAACAGTGGGACAAGCTTCCATATAAATATTCAAAAAAGCAACAGGAGGATGAAAACGGTTCCCAGAATCATCATGTGATCCAATCTGAACATCCTTCAAAAATTTAAGGCACTCCTGGAAGCATTAGTGAAACACAGCTTAGTAGCAATCTCTATAAAAGTTCAAACTGAATTTTGACCAGTAAAAGCCACAAGAAAAGAGCAGCTAATATTGATAATACAGAACCTTAGATTGGATCGAACTTTGTAGATGGTTCGGGTAGTAATCAGTCACAGAGAAATTTACCTCATAAAAAGCATCTTTACTTGTCAATAGATGAGTACTTAACCAATTCTCAAGGTCCATGATTTCTTTCTTAGAAGCAAAGGCAGCTAAGCGAATGCCGAAGTAAAACGGAATCATATCCAATACTGGGGATAAAATCTGTATGAACAATAATCAATATATCAGTAAACGAGATATTTTGGGAAATGAATAACGAATGTACAAACCAAATGATGATTATCACTTCTTTTGTAAAAGCATCCATTTCGAGGTGGTTGAATCTTTTATCTTCAGGGGAATATATGACAAATGAAAATACAAACAGAAGTCTCCATTGAGGAAATACAAAGGTTTTATAAATCCTCTTAACCTAGGCTCATTATATAGGACCAGCAACTAGAAAAAAAAATAATATAAAAATGATCCAGCAAATTAAGTGCTCTTAACATGCCAAAATAATACCAAAAACCTGGTAACCATCTCGGACGATTTCCATAAAGGTCATGAGGCGGGTTAAAAGCACTCACGATACTATCAATTATTTTTGCATGAACAAAGTTTAATGCCTTTAAAGCAGAATGTCTCATCACACAATTCACGATTTCCTATAGTTATTGAGAAACTACAAAATTAACTCAAAAAGAAGCCGACCTTTAGTTCTTGGCAAGCATCCAAAATCCCATAAACGTTCTCTGACTCAAGACTCATCATATCTATAAGCCCTCGCAACAACAAGTCTGGTTTAACATGCCAGAGATTGAATATTAAACCTCTCCCTGAAGCATTTTTTAGCACCATAGGTAGAACAGAACATGCCACTTCATTCTGGATAAGATTGTATGCAGTCTGCAAATCATATTATCAATGGTTACGAGACAAAACTATAATAGAAAATAATATCAAAATCCAAAGACGACATCATATGCTAATACATTGACATGAGCCATCCCAAGAAGCAACAACTCCGGGCAGTGGTTGAGTGGTTTTTCAAGGACACTACGGATAAGACTTGCATGCCCCCTCTCTGATAACTGACATAACATCTCCAGTAGGTCAAGGCATAACCAAGCATGATTTGATTTTCCAGGTTCAAATGATTCAGTCACAGCATCACCATAGGACTGTCAATTAAAAAAGATAAAACACCCATTTGCAGGTCTCGTATCATTAATAAAGACGATACAGATGTGTGACCAACAGTCACAGCTCGAAGAACCAACTGAATCTAATAGGAAAAATACCAGTTGCCTATCTGAATGAGCAAATGTAAATACTTCAGGCGGCACAGAGACTGCATACTTTAGAAATGATAACTGGCCATCGATATTCTTCCACACAAAGCCACATATAGCATGGAGCGGGAAAGGATCCTATAAACCAGATCCCATGACGTGAAATTAATAGAATATTATAACCCAGTTTGTTAGATGCCTGTGGCTGTCATGAATGTATAATACTGAATAAAACTTTTCGAATGATACCTGGCATCCATGCCTAAAAACAGACATGAAAAATGAAAAGGCTGCTTCGTTAGGGATATAAAACCCCTCATGGTCCAGATTCTCCATGACATTGATCCAATTAATTCCTGGAGCCTGAAAATGAGATAATCAAAGCAAAAAAGATACCAGTAAAGTCAACAAAGGACGCCAACGCCACGCTGATACCTAAATCATCAGTAAGCATGAAACTAGAACTCTTGGGGCTTACAAGCTGCTTGATAGACTCTACAAGGACTTCTACATTCCAAGAACTCAAAGTTGATGTATCCAGAACATTATTACCACCAAGAGCAGAACAGAATGCAGCAAACACATTTTGACTATCATCAAGACCTGTGTAAGTTCTCGCAACTGTACCAAGTATCTTTGCAATTGTGACCTCAGAAAGTGGCAAAAAAAGCGACAAGATTTCTTTGCACTGAGAGACATTGACTGTGCATCCATATCCTAATTCACTCATCACATCAGCCATGCTAATTTCCTTCTCCATTTCCGCTAGAATGGCATCAAAATCATCTTCACCGCCCTCATTTAACATATCTAAGTTCCTGCAGCAAAGTAAACAAAGAAAAGGGTGAACAAATTACATCACACATAAACTCTAGCCCGAACAATGAGTAATAACGAACTTCCTATCTAGCATTTTCAAGGAAAACTCTCACAGAAAAGAAAAAGGAAGAAAAGATCCAAGGGAGCACCTAAAGAAGTTCTCTGCACGCACGTTATCAGGAAGAAATGGCGCTAAAATAAACTGGGATCCATCTTTCAACCGTACAAGCGATAACATTTGCATGAATGAATCTACATGCTTGGAAAGGCCTTCAGAACGACTAAGAAACATGATAATACGCTGGATTTTTTCAGTAGATTCAAATGCCTCAGGATTGGCACACAACTCTGCAATCTGATTCATACAGAAATTCTTTCCTGCAGTAAAAGCCAATGGAAAGGTTGAAAACAGAAAAGGGAAACATATGATATATCAAACGATATTGTAACAGATTTATTTCCAGGTTTAAAATTCATCCAAGCCATCAGCTTAAAGGGAGAGAAAGAACTAACCGCAAATTCTTATATCATGATTTTCAGAATTGGACAAAGCAAGACCAATCCCAATTTTCTCAGACATCGACAGGTGTAATGCACCAGACAGATTCTGCAGCAACTCTTCACTTATCGGTGCAGTCTTCAGTGACTCACTTAATACGGTACTAAAATTAGGTTTATCCAATATATGTTTCAAAACTGAAGCATATATCGGGTGCAGCTTCATGGTTTTCAAATCCTTGCCATAAATATTGAGGTGATCCCAACAGGTTTGAAGCAGTAGTATGCTTCCCTCCAATCCATACATTGAATACTGTCAGTTAAACATATTACAAATATAATCACCATAGAAAGAATGGCAGCCCAATCAATATCAGCAATATGATCATAAGAAAACACAGTGCAACTGAAGATTTCCAGACAGATAAAATCAGGAAAGTCAACTGAAAACCATAAATCACAGAAACGGACTTTGTCAGAAGGTTTTAATAATACTATGACAACATATAAAGTTCCCAATCAAAGAAAGCCCGAACATTCTTGTAAACGAACCAATATTGCTTAAATCTTGCTCACGTTTCAGAAGCACAATCATTCAATAGAAGATACAAAACACTGAAATGTAAGAGTAAATATATGCACATGCTCGGTGACTGAAACTAGACATAATTCTCATAAAAATGAAGAGACCCCTCATTTTTAATCTCACAACGTAGCGCTCCACCAGATCACCAGTGACCATGACATTCGCTTCACTGTTGCAGTTAAATACCCAACCTATGTTGGGTAGAACTCAGAATTCAAGCTCCCAATCCATAAGAATCAATTTTTTTCTATACAAATAGTTTCACAAGGAGCAGAATCTAAAAGTGTATATCTGTAATAAAAAGAAAGTGTGGTGGTAAACTTATAACGAATACTTGGATAATTCATTTGTCAAAAAAATGCTTTATAGATAATATTGAAATTGGGAGATTTTAAAATTTATAGAGATTGTCATCTTCTATTTGAATTCAACTAACAGAACTGCTCCCAAACATGAACCAAAGATTTAACACCACATCATGACTCAAAATATATACATATAAATCGCAAGACAAAAACCCATTACTTCTATGAGAATAAAGTTAATTAATTTCCAGTTTGTTGGGACTTGATGAATAAAATTGACATCTTGATGCTTATTCTCTCCCATACCACCAGAGAAATGTATAGCACATGGCAAGTTGCCATCCATTTACTCGTGATCAAGATGCCTCGACGATGAGGCTCATGACTGATGATCACTAAACAATAAAGGGCCATCAAAAGGTGCAGAATGATCAGAAATGATAATTCCAATTCCCTGAGCAAAACACACTCTTCCAAGATAAAGCATTTCAGAACCAACCCATGACCCAAAATAACTCCATCAACTGAATTTCAACTTAACAACACCCGAATAAAACCGAAAACATGAAATGCTTTAGGGTTTTGCAGCAATCTCCATATCAACAGTCAAATAGATCAAACAAAGGCAGAAGACCAACGAGCTAGACGAAAAAATGCATAAAACTTTCCAAATTAGCTGCATGTACCTTGCAGAGATCTTGGAACACCGAATCAGAGTTGGAGTCGTTCAAGCTCTGCAGCAGAAAACGAATCTGACCGGAAACCTTAGAGGATAACGGAATCATCGTTGAAGAAGAAATCTTCCTTCTCCTCAGTTGAAGTATTTCAATGAATTTTGATACAAATTGCTAGGGTCTGCAAAAGCTGAAGAAAATGCAAAAAATGTAAAAAAAAAAATAATAATCTGAGACGGTGGTAGCGTCGAGCAGATTTGGTGGGGAATATGCAGTTGGGTGTTCATGCGGGTCGCACCACGGACCGGGTAAAATGACCCGATCCCAGTCTTCGGATGAATCGTCTAGACCGGCGGTTTGAAAGGCTACTCGTGAAATAACATTTTTACAGAAGTGCTACTGAATAGTCTCATCATTAGGCCTATAAGCCGAGCTCGAGCAACCAATAAAAAATCGAGCTCAAATTTTATTCGTTTATCAATATTAATGAGTTGAGTTCAAGTCTTAATAAGTCGATCTCAAATTTAACGAATCAGACTATAAAAAAAATATATAAAAATTATCTTGACAAGCTGGTCCAGGCACGATTTGTTAAAGAAACGAGCTTTATGCGAGCTCAGCTCGTCTATCAAACTAGTTGAGCCGAAATCGAGCTTTAAAAAGTCGAGCTCATGAGTTTTTAAATTCGTTTAATAACTCTACTCATAAAGAATGTTAATAGGTATTCTGGTGGGTCTTTTAAGGTTTGAGAGACGAATAGAGACACGAGATGAGTGAGCTTGGCTCTACTTGCTTGGATTCAACTTCGGCTCATCTCACTAAAAATCGAGTTCGGATTGTTAGTATTGATAAAATGGTCGAACTTGAGTTCATTATTGGCTCGTGTTGTTACTCGAATCAATAAAGGCTTCATTTACATGTAACATGAAGAATTACGTATTCAATAATGGTGGATACTAATAGTATGAGTCGCACTGGCACAATTGCAAGTATAATTGAGTTCTTGTATGAATTGAGTTGAATAATTGACTTATAGGTTGATCAACACATTATTTAAAGCATATCCAACGGGTAAAGACTTACAACCGAGCGCAAGATTCACCACGTCACATTAAGACTTGTGCTACAACGGGATGCGCTTAGCGAGAGACGACTCAATGGTTCAAAAGTTCAATACGTTCAATAGTTAGTATTGACACCACATAGCAAAAGTACACTTTTCACCGTATGAGATGCTCTCACTATTGAGAAAAATCTCATATCTCTGCCTTATCCCTCTTTAAATCACCCATCCAGAAGGCTTGTTAGGGGGCAGTAGTGGGCAAAGGCATTAAAGACTACCTACAGTTATTATTAATTGTTGACTGCTTTTGACATGGTGAAAAAAATAGGACAATCACCTTTTGAAGTTGCATGCTTGCAAGGAAGCTCAAATGTCTCAATATAAGGTACTTTTGCTTGATTAAACACTTTATCATTATGCTTTTTATTTGTCCTTATCTTGTTTCTTGTGGTGGGCAATCCCTGCAAGTTGGAGCTACAACTTGTGCCTAATAACTTGTGTCAGCTGTGATATCTAAGTTTTATTTAAAAAAAAAAATAACGTTATTTCTTGTTGTCGATCGTTGTAGTCTTGTAGAACCCATTAAGCTGTCTAAGGGGTTTATGTTAGTTGTTGGTTGCATGTGTGAGTTTGCGTTGCAAATTTGTAAGATTAACTGTTAATTCGAGTCTGCGTGCTCACATCAGGTTCCGAGCCTTTAGATCACACGCACAAAAATATGTGATCGACTCCAACAGCTCGGAATCTGGTGTGGAAATGTAGAGTAAAACTCACCAAGATAAACATAGCTATTGTTGATTAGAAACTAAACCTATTGTAATTAAAAAAAAAAATGAGTAGTGATTTTATGTGTTATTTCGCCTCTATACTCTCGAACAAAGCGTAATTTGTTGGGCTTAAGTAATCGTAAGATTGGGAATGTTTTAAATGCAAAGAAGCAAGACTCGTGCAATCGTGGAAGAGAACATCCAAAAATGGACCCTCTTGATTTTGATGTTCCATATTGTGGAACTTTTAAATAAGAAAAAATGAATCACGTTTTCTCTTGCTATGGAAATATCATTTTTGTACGCCCGTTTCTTAACCATAAATCTTGTATGAGTCGGTCTATTTGTTAGGACAGACGATCCGTTGTTTTTTTATATAAAACAAATAAAATAAAATACATATTTATATCACGAAATGTTATAGTTTTATTTATGTTTCTTTAAAGTATGACTTTCATGCGAAAGTATTCATATTTATTTAAAAATATGATTAACTAATCTAACATCAAGAAAGTGCTCATTTCTACATCAACTTTTTATCCTAAAACAGATAGGCCTCTGTTTTGGGAATCATGGCCATTTTTAGGAGTAATTGGAATTGACAGAATGCGAATTTTGGGAAGAAAAAAAGGCCAAGGAAATGATGCCAAATGTAGAATGAAAAAGAGGATATATTCTAAATTAATGAGAAAAATAGGTGAAAATTTAAATACTTTTATAAAAAAACATATATATTATAATATTTTAGTATGGCACTTGTTTTGTGTGACTTACTTGTGTTATATTATAATAATTTTTTTAACTTACAACATATAACTACATTAAACATAAATATATCAACTGAGTAATAATTTTATTTTTTTAATAAATTTTAATAAATATTATTATTTTTTATTATTATAAAGATGAATATAATTTATTTATTTGATATATACAATATGGATGTCAAATCGAAGATCATGAAAAGATGATTAATTTGA